TGGTCCGGCAGAGATGTCATGTCCTTACTCTTAGTCATGCGCCTTAGCTCTCAATTTCGTTAGAGAATTAAGCAGCCTTCTCTCAAACTCACCCTCATGCAAAGAAAGCAAGAAGAAAAGACAAAGGAATGAGATTACTCTATAAGTTTATTTCTCTAACGTGAAATGAGTACAAATGAGTGAGATGGATGCTTATATAGTTCTCTCAACATACAATGCATCAATGCCCCCTCATAATAGTCGCTCTCCATTACTACACCTCTTAAGTCCCCCATAATGCACTATCTTAATATCACCCATAATATGGCTCATAAGTGCACACTAAATCTCATAAAAGGTTGGAAGAATCCTAGAGGCATCTCTATTCTTCTAGTCTTCCATACACGCTATATGTGCAGCCGCCATGGTATCACCTTGTTGGCGCTATGTCATTTGCCACATGTGACATCTCACAAGAAACTCGTAAGAGCCATACCTCATTACACAAGCTGTCTTTGGCTCTTCCCCTCTGCTATCCGCACTTGATAGTATCCTGAGCAAAGATCAAGTTTGGTGAACCATCTCGCATCTCCAAGCTGGTCGAACAAGTCCGCAATGTTGGGAATCAGCCAATTGTTCTTCAATGTCATCTTGTTGATGGCTCTATAGTCGATGCAAATGCGCAACGACCCTTCATTCTTCCTTTGGAACAACACTGGTGCTCCATAAGGTAACTTCGATGGTCGTATGTAGCCCGCGTCCAATAAGTCTTTAAGCTACCTCCGCAACTCTTCCAACTCTGGTGGGGCCATGCGGCATGGTGCTCTTGAAGGGGGCTTTGCTCCTGGCTCCAACTCTATCTTGTGGTCGACCTCTATTCTTGGTGGAAGCTTCTTAGGAAACTCCTTTTGCATCACATCATCGAATTCTTCAAGCACACCTTCGATAATGGGAGTTGTGGTTCCCATTGAGCCTCCTTCTTACTCAATCTCCAAGGACACAAGAAATTTTGCCTCCTTCTTTTTGAACTCCTTCAATACCTACATAGTGAACAAAGCACTATGGTGTCCATCCTCCCTCAAGATAGACACCATGAAACTCCCCTCCCTTATCCAAGCACATCGTGTTGGACTTGGGTTATAAGAGCACTCCCTCCCTGTCGAGGAAGTTGATGCCGAGGATGACTGGGTGATTGTCCATGGTGACGAGGGAGAAGTCAATGATGTCTTCCCACTCGTCAAGCTTCACTGGAACTCGGTGCGCAACTCCACATACATGGCATCAATGCCCCCTTATAATGGTCTCTCTCCATTACTACACCCATTAAGTCCCCTCATAATGCACTCTCTTAATACCACCCATAATGTGGCTCATAAGTGCACACTAAAACTCATAAAGGTTGGAAGAATCCTAGAGGGACAGTTTTTTAAAAACTCAATCCAATTTAGCATCTCAATGAATGATTCACGAGAATCCTTATTTCTACCGAGGAAAAAAAGGATTCCTTATCATTTGATATTATCTCAGCCTTTTTCTAGACTTTGTTTTTTTTTCTATAACAAGACTTAAATAACGCAAAGTTAAAAATGGAATGGTGGTAGTAGTAGGGAAGTATCAATAATACAATAAACCGACCTCCCTTTACATCCAGTTCAAATCCCTACCCTCGACAAGGTTGACGGATTGTCCAATAATAGCTCGTTTAGGGGAACAAAGGGGAGAAGCTTCGATGTTCGCCCGATCAAATGTATTATTGACTAAGTTTTACGAAAAAATTCTTCCTATGTTTTCACCATTTATCTAGTCTAGAATTTGGTTTTAGTGCTAGATTATTGTTTGTCTTGATAGTTGCACCCAATAAAATTAGGGAGTTGTTAAAGGTCGTCCTAACAATTACTAATGATCATCCTAAAAAACAACAAAGTTACACTTTTAACCTTTTAACATCTTTACCTTTCCTTTAGCAAACAAACACCACCTTCACTTAGAAAGCAAAAAACACTCATTCTCCCACACTCTCGAATTCATCATCGACATTTGGAAGCCGAAATCGTCGAGCATACGTCCGAACAATGAGTAGCGACTCCGACGAGGTAAAAATCTCGTTTTTTTTTTTTAAAAACCCGAAATTCTCAACCGAATGTGATTTTCGGTTGAGCCATGGATGAACCGAAAATCTGCTTCGTTTGGTCCATGGTGAAACAAAAATTGGTTTCGGTTGGTCCACGGTAGAACCGAACCCTGCCTTCGGTTAGGCCATGATGAAACCGAAAATTGGCTTCGGTTTAGCCATGGTAGAACCGAAAATTTGCTTTTGTTCGTGGCTTTTGGGTTTTTTTAAATTTATATCAAATATTTCTATTTTTTTGTTATGATTTATAGTTTGGTCTATATGATTGTTTGTTGAATTTTAGTTTATATTATTTTTAAAATTTATGAGCCTAATTATTTGTGAAATTGAATGTTTTTGTATACAAAATTAAGATTAGATGTATAATACGCAATAAAAAAATTCTAGAATGTGATTAATATGATTCTTATGTAAATAATAGAGAATGCTAAATTTTGTCATGTTAAATGTTGGATTTTGCTTAGGAGAATATTCAGAATGCTAAATTATTTGTGATAATTGTTAAATTAAATGTAGTCGTTAGATTTTCTATTATTGTGGAGTCCTACTTATATCATGAGATCTAACATTGTAGGATATTGATGATTACGGAGGGGATGGCAAAGATTACACCTCAGAATTCGTCAATGGAGTAAAATACGATACGGATTTGGTTGCATATGCAGCAGCTACTGAGATTGCCAAGGGTTTGGGTTTTATTTGGTGAAGGCATCAAATAAAAAAAATCCAAATGAAGATAGTAGGCGACGATACTTGAAGTGCACTCATGGTAGGAAGAGAAAATCGAAGGCTCCTGATTCTGATCCGGCTAAGGAAAGGAGGCCTCTTACTTCTTCTGTAAAGTTGGGGTGTGAATTTCATATCAAGATTGAGCGGTCAGATGATGGATATTGGTTGATACTAGCAGCGGCTAATACAAAGAATCCTGGTGCTAATTTGGGTTTTCACAATCATCCGCTGGAGCTATTTCAGAATGGATAAAGTAAGAGGAATGTTTTGACCGAAGATGATAAGCAATACATCAGACAACTGAGATTAGCCGGTGTCACCCCAAGGAATATCCACAAGGCAGTGAACGAGAGAAAAGAGGAGCATGGAAAGGTGAACAAAAGACAGATTTCTAACGCATTGTATAAGATAAGAAAAGAAGAGCTTGGTCAGAGGACGGCCTTACAGTACACTTTTCAAGATGCTCGGGAGAAGGGTTACTATGTGCAGTATGTGGATGACCATAACGTGCTTACACACTTGTTCCTAGCCCACCCTGAGTCAATATTGATGTTGCGAGCTTGGCACCATGTCATTGTGATAGATGCAACATACAAGACCAACAAGTATGAGTTTCCATGGGTTGAGATTGTTGGCATGACACCGGTGGGATTGAACTTTGTCATTGCATCTGCGCTAGTGTATGACGAGACAAAAGAGTCGTACCAGTGGCTTCTCACGCATCTGCAACATTTGCTTGGCTCTATCACTCCAGATGTATTTGTTAGTGACAAAGCAGGAGGATTGGTTGAGACCGTGGGGGTAATGTTTCCATCATCGACTCATATACTATTCCTTTGGCATGTAGACAAAGATTGTGAGAGCACGGTGTCTAACGGAGGTGAGGAGGACGTCTCATTGTGGGATAGATGCAGCCCAACCGACAGTGGATCTGATCATGGCGTCTTGGAAAAGGATTGTATATGCCGGCAGTGAGGAAGGCATGAATAGAGATTTAGACAGTTTCAGGCGTAGTTGGGGAGTACAGTATCCACGTCTTTGGAGGTACTTGTCACATGAGTGGTTACCAAACAAGCACATGTCGGCAACATGTTATACAAACCAAGTGCGACATTTGGGTAATACAAGCTCAAATCGGGTTGAATCTGCTCATTCATCCTTCAAGAAGTGGCTTCAATCAGCTACTGGTGCAATCGATACGGTTAGTCTCTTAATAAATTTTCATTTATGTCTTCTTTAGAAGTTTTACTTAATCTAGTATCCTAATTTTCTTTCTTTGTTTGTAGGTTTATAAGAAGAACCATGATTACATTGAGGCTCAACATCTTCAAATCCAAAAGCTTCTAGAGGATTCTAGATTAAAGAAGATGTTACTAGCGGACGGAAGACCATTTCGGGAGTTGCATACAAACTCCAATCATCTGAAAATTCCAAAAGTTAGATCATCTCACGGGCAAAGTCAAACTAGCAATTCCAAATAAAAATAAACAAACTAGCAATTCCAAATAAAAATAAAGTACAAGGATAACAATCTAGAAATGCCACACTCCACTAAGGAGTCTTTCCGACTAACTGGTCATACAACTCGTGAACCTCACTCATCATATCGTAGTACTCAGATGCATGCTCCACATAGTGATCCTTGTCCCTCACCGCCAACACAGGACCAAGCTTCTCCACAATCTGCTTCCTCAACTGTAAATACAAAAATAATGTCATGAATGGAAAAAAAAGCATATTAACAATACATTAAAAATTGAACAATTATGACATAACTAACCTCATCGACTAGCACTAGCCGCTGTAGAGACACTCCACCAGAGTCCGGATTGATGATCCTTGGGTGCGATTGAGTCCGGTACCAGTCCATGTAATCCTCATCGACCTCAGATGGATACTCGCACAAGTCAGAATCAATCGCTATGTGTAGAAAATGAGACGGCAAGTTGCCCCATAACTGATCCATGCTACCCTCCCAGAAAACGATGTAGGTGCTGCAAGAAGCTGGGCGATACACATCCTTGGGAACCATCATCGTACGGGGGATAGTCTGTCGGTACCCAAACTTTCGGCGACACCGTGCAGGATCATAACCCTCAGCAACGTCAGCAAAGCGAATGACACCACTATACAAAGAGCGTAGTACCTCCGTGCCAGCATCTCACCCGTAAGGAGTCCAAGACACATCCTCCCCTGACATCTCATCCAACATCTGTCGATACTGTACCAAGCGCTGTCTAGCATCATCACCACCTGCAAAGCGGTGACACACCCACGAGGAAGCACGAGGAGCATCTGGAGCCTGGAGAATCTGGCTCGGACAGAAGAGTGGAAAGTACTCATATATCCACGTCTGAAGCAGAGTCAAACAACCAAAAATACTCTTACTTCCCACTCGTGTGGCCATCCCTAGCTGTCTGTAGAGATAGGCGAGTGCAGCAGCTCCCCAGGCGTAACCGGCCACTCGTCGCTGGTCCTTCAGAAATACATTGATCGCAGGACGGAGACGATCACGACTCTTATCCACAAAAAGTGTGGATCCCAACAACACAAACAAGTAAGTCTGCACCTCCAGGTCCCTAATCTTCATTTCTCGTCCACGCACCAACAATCCCTCTGCGTGTATACCACCATTAAGGAACCACTTCGACTTCCACTTACCACCAACAGGACCATCCACCGGGACCCGAACTAGATCATGCATGTCTAACTTAAGAACATCTAGATGCGGATCATCTCTCATCAGCTCCCCCTCAACTGGAATACGAAGAATGTGATGCACGTCGTGGAGAAGAATCGACATCTCTCCAAATGGCATATGGAAGGTGTTCGTGTCCGGCTGCCATCTCTCCACAAATGCCGTTATCAAAGCTGTATCTAAATGCTGCATCATACACCCTGCCATGTGGGACAATCCTGTGCCCTCAACCACCTTCTGAGAACCCTCTGAACTCCACTCATATCTCCTCAAAGACTCCACACTACCAGATCTATGACAACAATCTAACAACCCACGATCATGCGTTGGGGAAGTCCACAATGCAAAGGCAATGTGATCTCCAAAGCTAGGGATCACATCGGGAATCACAGGTCCACCTGAACACATCTGAGACTCTGATGTCAGGCGCCACGACATGTCCCCCCTCACTCCCTTCTTCCTCTTCTTACCATCATCGTCTTCCTCACCACTACGTCTCGCAACGTAGCGTCCATCTAGCCTACGCGGTGGAAAGTGCGAAGAAGCTGTAGAAGATGTCCCAACTCGTCTCTTCTTACCGATGCCTACATCAGATTCAGGTGGGACATCCCCAACCTCATCAACAGCCACATCATCATCATCATCATCATCACCATCGTCGTCGTCCATAGAAACTGAATCACTCCAATTAGCCTCCCACGGCGTCGCATCCTCAGGAGTAGGGGTGGAGGTAGTACCTCGACTAAGAGACAACTGTCCCATAGTAGGGCGACCGTCGGGACGCTCTATTTCCGCCTTCTTCTTCTTCCCCTTAACCTTTCGTGGATTTTTTTCTTCATTTTCTTTTCTACCGGTCGCTGTAAGTCTACAAGCACGACCTTCCATTCTTCCTTCCGTTTTTTCTTCCATTCTTTTCTTATTCATGTACGGTTTGCCTATTCCATGTCCAGACATCTTCAAAAAAAAAAAAAAAAGAATTATAATTAATGATAATCAAATGCATTAACATTTTCTGATAATTTTCTCTAATTTTTTTGTAATTTTTTGATAATTTATTAACATTAATAACAACTTTCTTAGTCTTTTTTCTAAATTTCGACTACTTTTTAATTTTCCCATTATTCTAATATTTTTTTAACATTGATTACAAATTTACAGATTATATTTTTAAATTTTGATACTTTTTAAAAATTTCAGATAATTTTTAATAATTTTTATTACATTATTCACAATATTTTTTTCATAATTGAATTCATAAAACTATTCGAATATAATTTGTATAATTAACTACAAATATTTTTATTATTACTTAATTTACAATATTTAATAACAATTTTTTAAATTAATTGCATTAAAATTAATTAAAATCAAACCAACCGAAAATTGAATTCGGTTTGACCATGGCTCAACCGAAAGTTGACTTCGGTTTGACCATGGTTCAACCGAAAGTTGACTTCGGTTTGACCGAAGGCCAACCGAACGTTGACCTCGGTTTGACCGAAGGCCAACCGAACGTTGACCTCGGTTTGACCGAAGGCCAACCGAACGGCGGCTTCGGTCGTGGGCGACGACGCGTCGTTGAAGGCGAGGAGTGAGACTTACCTTCTCCGGCGAGGTTGGACGGCAGGCGAGTGGAGGCGTGGCGGACGGGGACGGTGAGTGGAGGCGCGGCGGACGGCAAGGACGAGTGGAGGCGCGGCAAGCGGCTGAGGACGAGTCGGCTGACGGGGGAGCGGCTGACGGGAAGCGGATGACGGCGACGGGAAGCTCTGCCGGTGGGGAAGCGGGTCGCCAGCGAAGCTGCTGGCCGGCGCAGCGTCTCTGCTGCTGGGAGTCGCCGAGTCGGGTAGAGGAAAGTGATTGGTTGGGAAGGGGAGTGTTTGGGAAGGGTTTGATTTTGAATTTTAAAAAGTTAGTAATTTACGTATTAAGTTAGGACGACGATTAGTAATTTCTAGGACGACCTTTAACCCTTCAGTAAAATTATGGTTCCTTAGTATTCGATAGTTTTTTTTTTTAACAGAAAGGCTAATTACTTACTATTTTAAGAACTAAATATATGTTCTAATAATGTCAAAACTTTGGCTCACTACAACAAATTCGGCCTATTGTGACGTGACAATTTTGTCATATTAGATACCTATTTTGTCATATTAGATATAATGTGACAAAAGGTGTTGTCAAAAAGGTTTGTCATTTTATCGCCGTCAAGATAGGTCAAATGTGACAAAATTTTAAAACAAGTTTGTCACATTTGCTTTCAGTATAGCTGAAGTTCTGGGTAGTCTATTGTGACAACTAGAGATTTAATGACGACATATTTTGTCAATAATTTTCTTATTTTGACAAAAAAAAATTTGTCATATTACACGATTATATTTTGACATCACATAATTGTGACGAACAAATTAATATGATTTATTCATCAATATATTGAATAACATATAGTTGAAAAAATTAATATTCTTGTAGCATGAAACTCCGATCAAATAAATACTAGTTACACATCTAACTATTTTGGTGTCTTATACAAACTATTCAGGGAATTCTTAATCCCTTAACAAGGCTGGCCAATTGTTGTCACTGCGGGTGCCGCTTATATGTTCATACAATCTGTAGAGAAAACCTACACCAAATTGAAAGGATTATTAACCCAAAACCTATAGGTTTGCTACAAAGATACATAGAAGTACAAGATCAAGACGAAACAATTATGAGATGGGCAAAAATCTACCTATTAATAGCCTAAATCAGTGGTTGAGGCGTCAAATGCTAGTACCTGCACGTAGCTGTTGTAGCTTTCTCACATGGGTTTAAGCAAAACCGGAGCAGCCAACCCCTGCAACAGAAATTTCATAAATTAGTGACTTAACCACCTCCTTTAGAAAAACAACAACAGAAACTGAAATTCCTGAAATTGGACTGAGAAACTGCAATAAAGCATAAGCAAACAAGAGAAATCTACAAAACTGCAACAATAATAAAAAATCTACAGGCTGCAACAAGTTAAACAACTTCAATGAGAAATTTTCAAAGTATACCAGCGTTCAGGTCTTTCTCCATGGGTTGTGAAAACTTAAAACTGGATAATAAACAAATGAAACTAACTGTTCAAAGTATATCATAGGTATTATAACAAACCATTAAGGAGAGCTACAATGAAACAAAAAGGCCAAAATAAAACACTTCACCTCACTGTCAGAGCAATTTGAAGAGTCATGGCCTGGATCAGAATCAGCTCCTAGACTCAAAACATTTCTTCCTTGTCCTCATTTCCATTGTCACATAGATCGAGCACACTTTTCACCTATGAAACAAAAACCATCAGCTCAATTCCCCTACAAGATGAAGTGTGAACCAAACCACTCAGTTTACCTTGAGTGCCAACACAAAATGATTGTTGTTGACATTTCCAACCTCCATCATAAGAGGACTTTTAGTCCATGGATTGTGGGCATCTTCCTCTGTGCACCCCCTGAAGAAGGGCATCTCATAGTCTGGAGGCTGTAATTTTCATAATACTTTAGTGGCACTGTTCTAGTATAAAACAAGTTAATTGTGAAGTGAAACTTTTACTATGGAAATCCATAGGATCATCGAGTTACTCAGATCCAGAAGTACTAAACACTACATAAGAAGAGTCTTCTAATAGGAAGCATACCGTGATAACGTCATAGTAGAGGAGTTTCATCAGTATAGTGCACTGAAAACAAAACATAATTATGAGTCGCTATATGAATTGATCAACTTGTAGACATCTTGTCATCAACGCTACCAACTACCAAAAAAATTTACCTCTTCAGGCATCTCGTCAAGAGTTCTCATCAACTGAACAAGAGTGCGCACTTACAAGCGAAACTAGATGAACAAGAAAAGTTCATCAGTACCTTTCTCTATCCAGTCAATCAGTCGATGAGATTCAGCATCCATAGCATCAACTTCTTGATCTTCATCTCTATTTACTGAGCCATAGTTTACAAACAAGATCACCGACTTTCTTTTCAAAATTTATAGAGAAGAAGAGATGTAGCTGATATTGAAGACAAGCCGCTGATGTAGCTGATATTGAAAAATGGTGAAGCAAAGAATACCTCCACTTCAAACCTTGAGACTTTGGTAGAGATGGGATTCAGTAAACTAGCTTCACTGGTCAAGATAAACATGAGCTGCATATATTAATCATGGGTTATACTGTCTCTTTTTGCATAACCAGTAGGATCAAATAGATTCATTGTGTATATTAATCATTGGTCCTTGATGACCTCGGTTCCTTTTCCTTTGAATAACATAAAATGTGTAAAAACCAGAGAAGAAATCCCCTGAAACCCATGTGAGAGTACATTTGCTAACCCTGCCTTTCTGATTCATTGCAAGTCAATTAACTAGGAATACCCAGAAAATCAAGTTCACTAACGCAACCTAACAGGAAAGAAACAAATAAATGATAGAATCTAAGGCAACAAAATGCGCTAATAAATACACAAAATTACATAACAGAACCAAGTAGAATACATTGCTTCTCATGTTTTCTCTAAGCACCCAAGTGGTGGAACAACGAACCAAAACAAAATAAAGAATCAAGAAATTAGAGCAACTTCCACATGTCGTATTCTATTAAACTATGCACATGCAATTACTCCTTTCAACTTCAATTATCATCATCTGTTGTTGTTCATGCCATTTATCTATGTGCTTGAGTTCCCCCTGTAATAGAGTCTACTGTTGAGCATCATACCCTTCTCTCCCACAACACTTGCTAAACATCCAAAAAAATGACAGAAACGAACAACTGAACATACATAACAGAAACAACAACTGAGAAGGTAAACTATAAGCAACGTTGCTTCTACTTCCAACTAACTTTAAACTCATTCAGATTCAATAGAGAACGGAGCCCAATTCGTTGCTTCACAATACAAGAAGAAACACTCAAGAAGGACAACCCAAAACCAACTAACAACAAGATATAGATAGGGACTCACTGAGATGCCATAGCCGGGCCAGAGCCGACTAACACTTAGCAATCTGATTCGCGCAGATTCCTCGACAGATTTTGATTCGAGCGACTCCTTGACAGATTCCAACTAGGTGGTAGGCTGGTAGATGTTGCACTATACTTGCAAACCCATGATTCTAAATGGGATGCCGGAGAATGAATGGATCTAGAACTGGCCGGCAACCTCAACCCTATCGCGGGAGAAATAATTGTTGACGAAAAGTCGTGCAAAGAGAGAGAGAGAGGGAGGATATAGGAGAGAGAGATATTGGATTTGTTTGAATTGAAAGGGGCTATCTTAATAGTGGATCTCGAACTGTTCGGTAAGCAGCAGTCGCCATCTCTATCGCGGGAGGGGGAGGGAAATCGTCGATGAATAGTTGAGCAGAGAGCCAGAGACAGGAAATGGAAGAGAGAGGGGGGGGGGATTATAACCTAAAGCAGGAACGTTCTTATCAGTAAAACTAGAATCGACACCCGCGGCTACGCCGCAGGGACTAAACTTGCATCAACATCATTCTACAGTCTGTAGAGTATTAAGGAAGTGGTCCAGACAGTTAATGTCACTATGAACGTGTATGCCTACCAGTGGTGTGTTGGTAACTTGGCATGATATGCTAATTTCCGTCATTGAAAATTGTATTCAACATCCTTTTCTATTTAGTCTTTCATATTTTGTTTATGTTCTCACTAATTAATGTCATTAGTTAAACAACATGCCAGTTGATGCCGGTTGATGAGACCACAAAGAAAGTTTCCAAATACCAGTTAAACCTCATAATCCTAAGCTTGATCCCTGCAACTGCAAGATAGATGAAAGGAAACCCCACCTTTAAGCATGAAAAGGTTAAAAATAATTAAAATTCGAAGTCCTTTATTGGCAGTACATCACAATTCACAAAAAAACAAAAGGCATTGGTTATCTCTTACCTTTCAATGACAAACTTATCACACAATGTTCCTTCGTTCATCGTGCAGCCCTCTGCCATTACTGCTCTATTTTGTCCAAGTCCATCTGGTGCCTTTGAAACTGGCATCAAAATCTCAAATATCATTAGATTTTCAGCCAACAAAAGTGCCAAGTGGGGTGACCAACTAATTGGAAGGGTTATTTCTAGCGAACTAACTAAGCACAAATTTCTTCAGAATGTATTAGTCGGAATTAGAGCTGGCATCAGGGAGCAGCTAGCTGACAAAGAGCAAAGGAAATGTAAACCAATGAAACAACAAATAGCATTCACGAATAACCGATACCCTGGTCTCAAACAAAATTTTACGGAACTCAGAAAGAAAGGAAGCAATTAGAAACCTAAACAGTAAAATAAAGGATTACCATTGCTTGTATACATCTACTAACTTAAAGGCACATGAAATCACTTACCATTGCTTGTATCTTCGATTTCAACAGAAGTAGTGACATAGTTGTCTATCCTCCTACTTGCAGCAGCATAAAACTCACATCAAACAACATATATTCATCCAGCCACCCCTAATCAACAACAAATATAATATATCTTTTACACCGCCAGTCTCTCTCTACAATACTGCCATTCAAAACTAAGAAAAGGAAGAGAGCCCGTGAGTCTTAACCAAAGGTTGACGCAACTGAACCGGTTTTCAAGGAATGATCAGCTGCGGCACTGCGGCACTGCTCATCTTCGTTGCCATGGGGGTTCCTTAGGTGAGCACTGGGCAAGGTTTCACCGCCGTGGACTTAATCCATCTTCTACGCCATCTCTCTCCTTCACTATGATACGCTCTGCTAGTTGTTCATGTGAAGTGGGACCGGAGTGGAAAATCACAGCAACCATTAACTGGTCGCGCTGGCAGCGGTAAGAATAAATCAGAATTGGACTTCGAAATGATTAATGACGCGGGGCTAGTGCAAGAGATATTTGACACGAAAAGGGAGAATGAGAGGAGGTTTGGCCGAAGAATTGGGTGCTAAACCAAGAACAGATAAAAAGAGAATCGAATTGAAAGGTGCATATGAAAAAAGGGTCGACGGAGAAAAAAGTCTTCCCTCGAAGGCTAAGAACCTATGTATAAAAATTATGGGCGCTGAAGTGTTTGAGTAGGTTTTCAGAGTTCGACATCGAGAAGCAAACCAGAGTGGTGGGGGTCGGAGATGATTGATGCGGTAGCTTGCAAAAGCAGAGTTTGGGGAGGATGGGGGATACAGAAGCATGGTCGCTGCAATTGATAATACGGCAACAGAGACGATGGATGAAAAGGGGTACGGCCGGGATGCTCTTATCAGGGAGGCGGCCAACAAATCCGGTGTTTGGGTGAACAGAGGACATCAATCTTCCCTGAATTGAGGGGAGCAAAGCGGGAGGTACAATTGATGGCCGGTGGCGTGTGTGGCCAATGGTGAAGGGAGCGGGAAATCTGGAAGAGCAAGTTGGAACACTGAAAAGATATACAGACTCAAACACTGTCGTGTGATTGCTGATTTTGGGGGAAAGGCAGTGAAAGAAAGCCATGGTCAATGTTTCTGATTGCCGATTTTGGGGCAAGATCAGGAAGGGGAGGTACGGACAGCTCGGGCGGGGAAGGAAGTGCGTGGGGCTAAGGTATTTTGCCCGTCGTCCACTAAACTCCAAGAAATGAAACAGTGGATAGAGAGTTTGGGCCAAAAAGCGTACCTACTTTTCATATGTAAAAGAATAAACTCCAAGAAATGAAACAGTGGATAGAGAGTTTGGGCCAAAAAGCGTACCTACGTTTCATATGTAAAAGAATACTTCTCTGGAAACAAGCCCCTAATGTAGCTTATATTGAAAATTGCTATCCTCCTTCACCTTGTGCGCGACATCCTGAAATAACAAGTATTGAACAAACTGAGGTCAGCTCGAGAGCAAATTGAGAATAAGATCTAGCACAATAAAAGAAGGGATTCTAACCTTCGATTATGCGCTATTCGTGCCCTAGGTTACAGTTACTGCCATGTTTTGGAGAGGATGTTTAGGGTTTTTTGATTGGGGAGGAAAAGGATACTTTTCTGTGTAACGAAGGGAAGGAGAGAGAAAAATTCCCAACACTTAAAATCTGCCCGCCAAACTCAAATTCTCACCCCGATAAATGAAAAAGTATATGTTAATAGGACAAATAGTTATTCTCACAACTTACATTGACATAACAAAAACAAAACCCATATATATTATGATGAACCTGTATTTTGTCGGCTCACGTTAGGAATAATAATCCCTATTATGACAAAATAGTTTGTCATTTAAACATGTCATGAAGACATAATATGACGAACATTACTCTGAACGATTAATTTTGTCCTATTTTAGTCTCATACATCTAGATATGGGACGCATATTTTGACAATAGCATATGTGACACAAGAATTTTGTCACATTGCCCATCTACTATGACCAACGCTAATGACAACATAATATCTTGTCACATTAGGCATCCCAAATAGGACGAAGTTGAGTTTTGTCAAATTACACCTTCTATTGTGACAAAAGCTGAGTGACAAAAGTTACATTTTGTCACAACAGACCAAATTTGTTGTAGTGGCTATACATATAATATTTTCTTAGGTCTGGATAAACTTTTTTATTATAACAGAATAACAAATAATAACCGAAAGATCTTATTCATAATTACCCGAAAATATCTTATTCATAATTAAGAGCAGCCAACTTGCAATAATTCTCCATATAATCTACACCAGACCATCATATTTGTCACGATTACATATTACTCATGCAGTCACCAGAACATCTTTCATGCACTCACGAGCTTTGCATAAAGCTACCAGAGGTTCAACCTTAGGCATTGTGAGTCCCTTCCCCTCCGACATGTCTATCAACCCTTCACCAACCCTTGTCCACTCGAAGCATTGAATCAACGCACCCAACGCCAAGCTCACAACTCTATTCGCAAGCCCTGTACCTGGACACGATCTTCTTCCCATGCCAAACGGTAACAATTTGTACGCATCCGCCTCCTTGCCCTCGTGCCTCTCCGGCCGAAACGTCGTCGGCTCGTCCCACACGCTAGGGTCCCTTTGAATTGCCCATGCGTTGGCCATTAGCATCGTCCCTTTAGGAATGTGGTAACCTCCGATCGTGCAGTCCTCCGAGGAGTAGTGCGGTACTAGCAGAGGTGCCGCTGGATACAGTCGAAGTGTCTCGTTGATGATGTTTTGCAGGTAAGGAAGTTTGGCGTAATCCGATTCCTCTACCAATCGATTGTTACCAACCACATCGTCTAACTCTGCTCTTGCCTTTGTCAGAATGTTCGGGTGATTAAGTAAGAGTGACATCGCCCATTCTATTGTTGTCGCGGATGTGTCTGTACCAGCTGTTATCATTGTCTACAAACAAAACGTAGTAAAACTTTGATCTCTATTTCTCCTGTTTTGAGGTCAAATCAGATGTAAACCTTAGTACTAAAACTACTTATACACTAGTATTGGGGTAATTAAATGCCACATTTGGTCACTGAGATTACTAAATCGTATCATGTTTAGCCACTACAAAAATTTAATATCATTTTTGGTCACTGGAATTACTGAAACCTGTCACATTTAGTCACTCTCTCGTTAGTTTCCGTCCAACTCCATTAAATGGAGTTGGACGGAAACTAACGGGAGAGTGACTAAATGTGACATATTTTAGTAATTCGGGTGACTGAATGTGACATGTTTCAGTAATTCGAGTACCCGGAGTTGAACGGAGGCTAACGAGAGAGTGACTAAATGTGACCTGTTTCAGTAATTCGAGTGACCAAAAATGATAATAAATCTTTCTAGTGACTAAACATGATACGATTTAGTAATCTCAATTATCAATGTGGCATTTACTCAATAATATTGTATCATATAATTTTAAAAAGACTTTATCACGATGTCATAGTCCAACATATATTTGTTGATTTATCTGATTAATGAAATTTCGCTTGAAGAAAGTTAAATTCACGATGTCATAGTCGTACTTTTTTTATTATAATATAATTAAGTTGATTTGTCTGATGAATGAAACAATACTTTAAAAAATGATTTAAGCATAAAGAATATGCCGTAGCACTCACCATGACCTGACCTTTGATAATATCGTCGGAATAAGTTTGAGGATCCGATTTCTGCAAATCCAAGAAAGTATCGATCATCGTCTTCTGCTCGGCGCTCTTATCCTTCCGCCGCTCGTCGATCAAACCCTGGAAAACGGCGTCGAATTTCGCCAGAACCCTCCACATCCTCTTCTCCATCCCGCCGTAGCCAATCCACCTCAGCACCGGCAAGAAATCCCCCGGATTCGACGCACCGCTCAGCTCGAACACCTCGCTTATCACCTCCTGAAACCCCTCGCCGCCTCCTCCTTCCTCCGCCGACGCAGACCCAAAATACCTCTTCCCGGCGACCATCCTCATCACTATGTTCAACGAGAGACCAGAAAGCCGCGACTTCATCTCCACCACCTCCCCGTAACCCGACCCGGCACCCGAAACCTTGTCAAACAGGCCGCGGACCAGATGCCTGACCTCATCGTGACGTAGGGCGAGGGAGGAGTTGAGGCGGGCGGTGGAGAGGAGCTCGACGGCGGTGAGGCGGCGGAGGTTGCGCCAGAGCGGGCCGTAGGGTGCCGCCCCGACGGTGGTGTAGTTGTAGTTGAGGATTCGGCCGGCTACCATGTTGGGCCGGTTGGCGAGGACGACGTCGTTCTTGTTGAAGCACTCCTCGGCTAGCGACGGGGAGGAGACGACGACGAGTTTGCGGACGCCCATGGAGAGGAGGTAGATTGGGCCGTACTGTTGGGAGAGGGTTTGTAAGGTTCTGTGGATTGGCTCCTTGAGGAGATGGAGGTGGCCGATGAACGGGAGTGAAGGAGGGCTAGGAGGGAGGCTAGTTTGGTCATGTCGTTTGTTTTTGGATGAGATTAGGAGCTTGGAAATGATGACGACCAAGAGAATGGCTGGGAGGGAGTAGAGAGCTATAGTTTGGTCCATTGTGTGGCTAGAGAAGTGTAGACTGTAGAGTGGGCAGAATTGAGGTTAGTGTGTGTGATACTACTCATATGCGTTTTTATAAGGGAAAAGGTATGAAAAGTTTAGTACGTAGTATATGATATTGATACATAAATGAATATTTTTTTTTAGAGATTTGAGTTATTGAGATCAATTGTTTTTATATAATATCAAAATTGATATGTTTTCTGATTTTTTTTATATAACATTAACTCAAATTAATGAGATTGAGGTTCAATATTTGTTGGATAATCATTGATTAACCGGTATTGAAAACTGGTCATACGACTCATACGTCAATGCTCGACTTGAATAAGAAGAAAGAACTACAGAGTAAGAATAATAAAAAAAATTCAAAGAGTAGGTGGCTGTAGGGAGTAGGGTTAGGTGGGCTGTAGGGAGTAGTGGTAAGTTCAACGTTTATTAATTAAAAAGATTGCAAAATTGTAGGCGCTTGTTTAATTATTTAACCCGTTAGTGTTTATTGCTTTTTGGAGACGGATTTGTGCTCGGGTCAGGTTTTTATCGGTCTTAATGGTCGGTTCCACCCGATTTTCTTAACATGTTGAAATTTTGTTGATCTCATTTATGTTAAACACATAGTATTTGAATTTGTGCAAATTTTAAACTCATATATGATAACTTTCATCCGAGGGAGTGTGTTAATAAGTAAATATAATGTAGTACTCTTAAAAAATTTATGTGTTTAGAACCAATTTGTTCGTGACAGAAAGTCGTATACAATTAAGTTGGAGATAATAAGTTTTTAACAAAGTAACTTTCCATGTTGATGTTTACATAATTGTTGTCTAGTAGTGTAAGGTTCAGCTTGAGCTTCGTTTGATGTAAGGCGATGAGCTTCACGTCAAAGGGTATCGACGGCTTTGCCTGGCCTGGATAGTGATTCCCCTTGGAATGGACGTTCGATGGGTACACGTACATTAGTAAAATTGGCGCCGGCTGTCCTGGGCTGGGATTGATTCTTCCGCCATATTTTCGCGTAACATTGGCCATAGATACATAGAGGTGTCAATCGGAGGGTTCAAGCAGGTTCAATCAGATTGCGAGTTAGTTCAGTATTGGGTTTGTCGGCTTTTGGGTTCATTCGGGATTCGGGTTCAATAGGGTTGCAGGTTGTTGGGTTGGGGGTTTATGGATCTTTGGGTTCAATCGAGTTGCGGGCAAATCGGGTTGCGGATTTATCAAGTTTCGAGTAGGGCGGGTTGCGGGCAAAAAGGGTTGCTCGTTATTCGGTTTAGCGCACCGAATTACTTACTCCTTACTCGCTAGCTAGCTACCAACTTACACATTTTATAACACTAATTTAAAATATTTTTCACAATTTTTCATTCTACCTCGTATATATACTAAGTTTTTTTAAAATAGTATGAATCAATTTGTATGATTTGCAAACTTGTAATGTAATTAATCATAATTAGTAAAGTGGACTAGCTAAAAGTAGTGGTGATATTAACATTTGCAATCAATATACACTTTTAACAAACCATACATACAGAAAATAAAACATCACTCTAAAAGCAAAGAAGAAAAATAGTTTTTTCCTATCTCAACGTTTCTGGGCGGCAATATAGATTACCCAAACGAAAATTGGACGGCAATATAAATCAATCCAAAAAAAAATTGTCGGTTTTTTAGAGCGGGAAGGAAGAATTGGATGATAATATATATCAAGCAAAAAGAAAATTTGGCGGCATTTTGAAACGAGAAGGAAAATTGAGTAACAAAAAATACATGAATTATATATTATAAATTACAGGCTTATTTCTCTGATGTGTGAAGTATAAACTTTTTGTTTAAAAAAAATGTGAATTAAGGTTCATTGCAACATTTGCAAGCGTTATCAATCAATAATTATAATTTATTTTCATATGCAAAATCTAGACAAGACACTAATGTTATAAACAATAGTTTATGGGAGATGGGAATCGGGTTTAATAAGAAATGAATTGAAATGTTGGTGCAACGAATTGGGTGAAATTTTCCCTCCTTAGATTTTCATTTTGGTAGAGACAAGTTGTAGAGGGAAAGCAAAATGAGAGAACAAAAAGCGGGGAGCGAAACATTCGGGGAGTGGAAAGTTGGGATGAAAATATCAAAATAAGGGGAAAAGTTTCCCATCTAAATGAAAATGCGGTGGGAGAATTAGCAAATGAGACTAGGATAACTCATTACATGTGTTCAAATCTGCTAAATCAAATTAGTCAAGCCTATAAGACTACAGTAAGGTTGGCTATAGACAATATTTTAGTCACTAAATGTTAAGACTCTTAAACAATCATACATAAACATCTTGATAATTAATTAAACTCCTAAACCATCATATGTAAACAATGTGATAGATAAACTTTCTCTCTTCTTTCTCTTAAAAAAATTGAAAACACAAGCCGATAGTAAGACAACCCTGTTGGTAAAAGGGCTAGATTTCGAGTTTGGGATGTGACAAGGTCCTAGGTTCGAATCCCAGTACCACCTTCTTGGTGTTCCCAGAGGCATCCTTGGTACAGGAAACGAAGTCTCCCCGATAACGATAGCATAACGCCGGGCACTACGCCGGTACAAAGTCCTTGATGGTTAGTATGCAGGTACCCCCCAAGTTTAGTAGACCCTGCTGTCACTCATGTGGCATGTGGGTTGCTGATATTCCTGTGTTATCAAATAAAAAAAATTGAAAACACAAAATTTTCCCTTATTTTTCTTCTTTTTTCGGTTGAATAAAAGCACCAAAACCACCAAAATTTCTCACTTTCTTCTCTTTCTATAAACCAAAGTATCAAAACTCCCCTTTCTTTCTTTTCCCAAAAAATTTAAGCACCAACTTTACCTTTTATTTTATTCTCAAAAAGTTCAAAACAGAAAATTTCGCACTTCTTTCTCTTTCCATAAATCAAATGCACCAAAACTTTCCTTTCTTTCTTTTAACATAATTTCAACTCAATTTTATTTTTTGAACATTTCTTTATAAAATGAAAAAGTAGTTTTACTTAGACTTATAGCAAACAAATTTAATTTTGAAAGACTATAAGATAGTAATTTTTGGGTCAATCGGACGGGTTACGGGTAAGTTCGGTTCAGGAAAATCATGTTCGAGCCAACCGAGTTACGAATTTAATCAGTTTCGGGTTAATTAGTTGCGGGCTAGTGGAGTTATGGGTTAATCGGATCGCGAGTCAATCAGGTTGCGGATCAGGCGGGCTAAGAATCATTGAATTTTAGTCAATTCAAATTGCGAGCCGATTAGTCGGACGGGTTAATCAGGTCGGATTCTGTTTTGACACATCTAGATAAGAGGGGTCTATAATACTATATGGTCCTTAAAATTTCTTACGGGTTTAGATAGATGAATTTGTATATTCATTTTGGATTTGGCATTTAGAATAACAAAGTCATTTTATCTTCTTCCGAGATGTGATGCAGGCAAAAAGAGACCTCATTGTTGATCCCTCATGGTCAGAGAGGGACAAATCCATTTTGGGTAATTGTGGTTGTGGATTGTTGATCCCTCATGGTCAGAGAGGGATAAAAAAAGAAGTTCCATTCGTGGCCTGGCGTTCAAACTGTGCCTGCCGACCTCCTTATATCTCTTTTTACTGATTCACGGACGATGGTTAAGGTAGACAATACTCCAATCAAGGACCAAGGGCAACCTAATGACATTTTATTTATAGTATTTGTCAATTCCATTATTGATATATATTTTTCTTTTATTGTGGGATCTTTAGTCATTCAATAGTATTTCCTAACTTAATCAAAACTATTTGATCAATGAACATGATGACACTTGATTTACACATGTTTAGTACCCCTTTTTTAAGGTATTTGACACCAGATTATTACATATTTAGCCGATTTTACACTAGGTGGTGCCTATGTGTGATATTTCAAGTCCTACAACGCGAAAGGAGACTTATGAGCGATTTTTCGTGTCAAGCGGGAGACAACATATAGAAGTTGGCTGGACCAGAGAAATACCCGACCTGATGCCTCGATTTCCCGACCAGGATCATGGAGAGAAGATCGGGGATATACAGGAGCTATCCCTTGGTCATATAATCTTTTTCCCCGACCCGGTATTTCAGTGGTCAGACTGGGTAATTCGAGCATGCCGACTTATCTAAGCTCAGCGTTTTGGAATTCCTCGAGTTTAAGGTAGAGTTACCCACACGTGGAACACGATCGGGGAACGCCATCTGGGCTGGTATAAAAGCAAACCTTGGATTTTTGTCTAAGGATCTAGTTTTTCACTGCAAGAAACACCTATGAGTACCCTAGAGAGAAAGTCATGAAGAACAAGTCATTGGGGCTGATTGAGCTAAGATCAACAGTTGAAACTTTGATTTTGCCCCTCGGAGAGCTGACTAACATCCGAGAACTGTTATACACAACGTTATGAGTGTGTCCTTCGGTTGAGTTTTCTTCGCTCTCTATGGAGTAAACCTCCTCTTTACTTGGGTATGAAGAACACTCGTTCCATCAGTGGCGAATCCGGGGCTGGGCCAACCCAGGCCCCGGCCCAGCCCTCCTCCGGATCCAGAGTTAGTTTAGTGCTTATAAAATTTTTTCGATTTAGGTATTTGGCCCAGTGCTATTTAAAATCCTGTCTAGTTTTATTTAATAATAGGATTTTGTGTAACTAGGAAAATGGTTCAGATGAACATATCCAAACCATTACTCTAAATTTATACTAAATTTTCTATAGCCCCAATGATTTTATTTGAAAAAAGACATGAAAACCTAAAAGTGTAAAGTTTCATTAAAATATAAAAAAAAACTATAAACTAAAGCACACGCTTCCTTGCAAAATTCAAAAAAATTCACAATCCCCCCAAAACAAAACAAGAACGAGCAGACCCAAAATGGATTTCTCCGCCAGCCCGTCGAGCTGGTTTTCTTTCCATTCTTTTGATTAAGAAAATATTTACAAACTTGCTAAGTTATCATTTAGATTGCCTCAATTGAGTGGA